AGGAAGGCCGCCTCCCCTGCCCACGGCCCCTGGCCGGCGTGGTGACGCGAGCCCCGCGGGTAACTATGGAAACCACACGCTCCTCCCTCCGGGCGCCGAGCCCAGTTCCACCCCCTCCTCGGGATTCCTGAGGTCCGCGGACAGAGCGCCGCTGGGCTGCAGCCCCGACGGGGACATGCGAGGACTAGGTGTTTGCAGGGGACAAAAGGCCGAACGCCCGGGTCCCCAAGCTCGCACTCACCTCTCCCGTAGGGCTGGCTCCGACCGGACACTTCCGGTGGAAGGACGGTGCCGCGTCACCCGTTTCTCTCCACGGACAGCTCTGAGTGTGCGCGGAAGACGCGCCAGCTTCGGGCTGCGATTCCCAGAAGGCCCCGGGTCTCCTCGGTGCTCGGACTCCATTTCCCAGGGGTCTTCGCCAAAGTCCCGAGGTTCTCGGAGCTTGAAGGAGGCGGAGTCTCGCCTCAGCTTCCGGGTCCTGACCTGCGCTCCGGCGCCTGCGCGGTCGGGGCCTCGACCTCAGTCGCGGCAGAAGAGGCGAAGCGCGCGTGACGGGGACGCCGCGCACCGCGCGTTTGCGAAGCTGCCCCGGCTCCTCGGGACCTGGGTTCACCCGCGCCCCGGGCGCACCTGTGCGGAGTTGCTCACAGCCCCGGCTCTCAAGTGTGGACGCGCTTGGATCCCTTTCCCTATGCAGAGAACTACACCATTAGCAATAAGTTGCATTCGCTACCCTTGCCCGCCCGTCTGAGGGAGCCACTATTACATATTTTGTGTTTATTGTCTGCTTTCATTTAAACGAGATAATTCTACAATTTTATAAAATATATGCTTGTCTAACCTCTATGCTGTACACCTGAAAGTAACACAAAATATGTTGAGTGTAAACTGTGACTGAAAAATAAGTACAGCAAAAAGTTCTATTACACACTCATGTCCAAACAATAGGTGGTTCGACCTAAAAGGCATCATGTCACAGGTGGGATGCTGTTTGCTTCTTCTCACTCCACAGTGTTACTAAGATTTATCCATATTGTTGAGTTTAAATTAATTCTCATGACCATAATATTCCAGTCGTGAATGTAGCGCTGCGTTCGTCCTTTCTCCTAGAGGTGGGCAGATACACCAGCACCTCGGGCCCGGATCACTGCAGTCACCTCAAGGGGTCCCACTGCTTCTGCCAGGGTCCCCCAGTCTGTTCTCAATAGAGCAGCCCTGGCGCTGCTATGAAAGCTGAAGTTCCATCATCTCCTGACAGGTAGCAGAATAGGCCTCCCCAAAACATACACTTGAAAAACAGCAAACAGAGGCTTGCTCTGAACTCCCCTTATCTGCCTGAAGACAGGAACTCCAAAAGCAATTCAATTGTCATAAATCCCCTCCCGGGGAGTTTCATCCACCAGGGAAGATTGTCACAGGAGGTTGAAGACAAAGAGAATTTAAAAATTACTGTATGGCTAACATTTTGAATATGATAGAATTGAATTATTCATTTTCTGATGCTATTGTAGGACCATGCTCAAGCAATACTAAATAGCTGGATGAACATGGCGATCCAGTAACTTTAGAGCTGGCAATGTGTTTGGACTAGCCTAACTAACTTCAAGATAGCTCCCAAAAAGGTGCATATAAAACTAACCTAATGTAGATAGATGTTTTTAGATCTTTATAATCCCAAATATCCTTTTCTTTTTTAAAATATATTTTTATTGATTTTAGAGAGAGAGGAAGGGAGGGAGAAAGAGAGACAGAGAGACAGACAGACAGAAACAAACATCCATCTGAGAATTCAAGACACATTCATTGGTTGCCTCCTGCACGAGCCCTGTCCCAACTGGGGATCAAACCTGCAACCCAGGTGCATGCCCTTGACCTGGAATCAAACCACTGAGACTTTTTAAAAAACTGGTTATTGCATTTGCCTGGTTTCTTTATTAACTAAGTTGAATACAATCTGTAATATATATTTTATGTCTATGTCATCTCACCTTTCTTCTGGGAGTTAATTCTTTTTACTAAGATACATGCATATTAGGTATAGCTGCAGTTGATTCATACTGACTCTGGATACACTTCTGTGCTACCCCTATTTTTAAAAATCCAAGAGTGTTTGCCCATTGGCTAAAGTTATTATAAGCACAAAATAAATGGTAGTGTTTGAAAAAAAAAATCTCAGCACACCTGTCCTGTCCACTGGTGCCCTTGTCACCTCCCTATTTCTAAGGTATAGATGAGTCATTGTCAGTGGGGACATGACAATGGCCTTTACCAGGCCACTCCCCCAGGCCAGAGCCATCAGTCCTAAGCACAGCTGGGGGTGCATGAGAGCGGCGCAGTGCAGGGGCCTGCAGAAGGCAGCATAGTGGTACAGTGGTTACAGGCCAAGGCAGCTCAAAGCTGCCCTTGACCTCCCCCCACCACCCCCCACCCCCAAACAGGAAAGAGAACAGCTGGATGTGGAAACTGCAAACGGTGATAGCTAATGGTCTTGTCAGGGCCCCACAAGTTGACAAGCATCTGTGGGGTGTGACTGGTTCTGAAGCAGAGATTCAGGAAGGAAAGATTGGCCAGGAAGAAGTACATTGGGGTATGAAGTTGAGAGTCTAACATGCATACAAGGATGATTGTTGGATTTCCCAACAGGGCAACTGAGTATGGGGTAAAATTGACTATGAAGAGCCTGGAGTATCAGGGAAGCCCACTGATACTGAGCTGTCACTGGATTTTCCCATTGCTTTCCTTTTACATCATTGGTACAGTTGGTAAGAATGAAATGAAGAATATTTCATCTATAGTTTGTGAAAACCACTGAATATTGGTGTTTTTAAGGAACAGATAAGTCATCAAGGACGACTCTACTCTTATTACTGTGGTATAAGGATGCATTATAGTAGAGGTAGAAAGTAATGACAAGGTGAGATGAGACTGATGCACCAGAAGCTGTATAGAAGTGATTACAGATCTCAACCTGTGAAGACAGAATGACAAGCAAGCAGAATTGCCTTCCATGTGTGAGTTGTAGTTTCTTCCAGAAGACAAGGAGTTTTAAAAGCCATGTGATTTCTTTTTCTTACAATTTGACTAAAGTGATAGAGTAATGGTGTATCGCTGCCTCAGAGAGAAGGTAAAAGGGGTAATAACCACAGGAGTTATGGAGAAAAGAGGCAACTGTAATAGAAAATCACAGTAGCATTCCTCCTTCTGTCTACCTCCACTGGGGCCAAATACCCCACCTTCAGGAGGTTGTCAGGCAGACACGTCCTGCTGCCGGGAAGATTAACAGTGTAGATTTGGAAGCTCTTAGAGACCCAGATTGAGTACCAATTTCTTAGCATCAGAAATGATTTCTTGTTGCAATCATGGGGACTGCACACTCCTTTGGATAATTAGCTGGGTTGCAGAAGAGAACATAGGAGTATATTCTTAGAGAAAATCTTGGAATAACATAATTCTTCCAAATTAAAAATATATTAACACATAACCATATAAAAATGTAACCTATAACCATGGGTATATGCTACTTTAACATTTAAAAGAGTTACATAAAATTTTGGAAGGAAATAAACATAATTTAGCTTGAGTTTAATATTTAGGTTTGACTCCAGAACAATCTTAACCTCACAAAGATTATATATCTCTGCATCTCACTCCTCAAGCACGGGAACCACGGTGGTCAGCTACATCTTTTCTAGAGCCCAGGAGTCTGCATTTGTGACTCAGGATCACATTGCTCCAGGGCTCTCCAGCTGCCCAGTTTTCTGACCCACATTAATGTAACCACACAAATCAACCACCCCATTGTTTTCTCACAACACCCTGGACTCTAGTAGAAAAAAAATAGTTTTATCTCTTTCTCAGAGTGACATTTAGTTAGAGAAAACAAATGTTTTTCAAAATCAAAGCAGAAAAACTATTTGCAGAACTGGCCCAAATCACAATTTGATTGGTAAAATCTAGCACAGCTTCCACTAGATATTTGTATGTTCCCTGTAAATTAAACTTCATGTTAATTCTGTGGGCTCAAGTGGAACCTGTAAACACAGTGACACCAAAAGCATTTTTGCACAAACTACTAGGTTTTGTGTGTGTTTTTTTACTTAAACAAATCAGCTTAGTTTTCTTTTTTCCCTTTTTCAATGTAATGGTGCACATAAGTTCGGAAGGAAGACTAGATATAACAGTACTTTGTTCTCTGCTTTTAAATATTTTGCAGTTCTTCATATGAACATAAAATTAATGAATGTAAATAACTATGAAGAACATACAGAATACTGAGTCATTTCCCCCATTTGTGAGTGAAAAGAAAATAGAGTCTATCAGTTCATCGAACAATTGCCCTATCTACCCTGACAGGTTCTAAAGCTGAGAAAGGATGGATGGAATCACAGATCAGATAAACTGAGGAGTGAGAAATGCTTGGAACTATTAACAAAAATCGTTTTTCTTAGGCCATTTCTGCTTCCTGGTAAAATTGAAATATGGCTACATTGACTCATTGATTCCCTCTGGATAATGGTGGAAAGTCTTAAGAGATCATGGATGATGTAGCCAGTGAGTAATTTTTAAAACTAGAATTGGCAGGGGAGTGATTTTCAACTTCTGCAGTTCTTGACAGAAGTTGGAAGAACAAAACCCTAGAGATCTTATTAGAACAGTTATTAGAAAGGAGCTCCTGATAAAATGACCTTCTTGTTTTCTGGGTGTCCACAGGGATCCAGCTCTAAGAGTGGAACTCATTAACATGTTCTCCACATGCATATGGCTATTTAAAAGTTTCAAAAGGGTTTCATTATTGTTCACAAAATGGAGCAATCTCTAGGGCTATCTGTCTTGGAGGAAAACCCTTGATTAGGGACTGACTGCCATGGGAGAGAATGGTGTCGGCACCTGTCACTACTGGGTTCACCCAGCTTAAGGGGGCCTTAGAGCCACTCAGCAACCCTGGGATTCACCCAACTATATCACATCCCAACTTTCCAAACATCACTGGAACAACTGTCCCTCCCTTTGGGATGGCCTTTTGTCGAGCAGGGTCTTAGCCAGTGTGGAGCAGAGCTACCCTCTCCCAGTGACACTGTTGTTGATTCTGTTGTGTTTGTCAATGGCTCATCCACTCTGTGATGTTTTCACTTCCCATAAGTATTGTGTTCACTGCCATGTTCCTAGCAAAGTCTTAGTACATAGTTAATCGATATTTGTTGACTGTATCAGTTAATTTATAAAGGATAGTAATAGGCTCGGTGAAGACTTGCTATCATTTACAATGAACACTTTGGGGGAAAAATAGGCATAGGTAATTTTTCATTGAATAAAATATGAGGGCAAAAGTATCAACTTTATATTGACAATAAAATTGTGACTCTACCTTATTTCTCCTTCATGTATCTCTGTTTACTATTAGTACACATTTCTTAGTTTTTGACAACTATGTACATGTTGTTTAAAAATAAATAAAATAGAGAAATATAAATAAGTGGGAACAGGTGATATATAATAAAACTGAAGAGTCACATATACCATGTCTGAGAAATTTTGTATCTATAGATAAACTCTTCAACATATACCCAGGAGATAACACACAGAATGTTGATGTCATCTTTATTTGTAACAGCAGGGATGGGCAATGCTAAGCCACAAGGACGAGGCTCCACATTCTGGATGTGGACTGCGTTATTCATGCCCTTAAGAAACATCATCATGGCTCAGGATCACCTCTTACTGAGTTTATCGTAGGAAGAATCAACTGCATTCTAAACTTCTATCTTCTTTCAAAAATAACAGAATATTTTCTATAACCAAAACTAAACCCAAACCCATTCTTACAAGCCCTAACTAATCTAAAATAAAATCTATTCTATCTGAAAAAAGTGTAAGAATTAGTGCTCAGAATAGGAAAATATGCACATTGTATCTGAAAATGATATATTTTGAGAACAATTTATTAGGTATTTGTGTTTTTTCCCCCTGAGGGCTCTAGATTGACCTTAAGTTTCTTAAAGATATTGAAGGAGTTTAACTGAGAAATTGCTAAGGCAGCCTTTTATCCGGTATCTAGTGACACTCTTGGTGATACCCTCACATTTTGGAACCCTATCCACTTGCAGAAATTTTAATGCAACACGTTTTCCCAGATTACGAGATGAGGTTCATCCATCTGATAATATTTCAGACCTGAAGAAATATGCCTGCTTTTGAGACTCATTTATTTGACACAAACCATTCAAATCAGTTTTCGTTATGCCTGGGGAGGGGTTGCCGCCACCAATGTGAGGATGAAGAAGCCAAGGTCCTCCAATCATGAAGATGCCAACAGCCCCCAGAAGTCCATCCTGCTCTTCCCTATCTCTGTCCAAGACCATCCTGACAACATATGAGGAAAGTGGAGGTGAACAACCTTCAAACATTTTAAGCAAGAAGACCCTTTGCCCTTCTTTTGTCATTAATAAACTATTAAGTATTAAATATAAGCCAGAAATTCTTCCTCTTATATGAAGCAAATGCCTCATGATCTTTACATTCTTTCTTCTTCACTTTCTATTGCCTCAGAAGGTCAAACATCAATGTCATTAAACTCGATTACAGAAATGATTCAAAATACACGTGGCCCGTTAGGAGTCCGTGTTGGAGGTACTGAGTGCTAGAGAATCGAACAATGTGTTTTACCTTTCATTCAGGCCTTTGGCACTTATTATAAAACTACCTTTGAACTTTCTCAAGAGAATAAGTATTTCCCTACTTCTAAGTGCTTTCTTTTTATATATGTTGAGGACCTACTAAGTCCAATCATTGTCATGGAAGCTGGCACAGGTACAAAAATGCCTGGTGTCTACATTCATGTCTGCTATTTTGCAAGCAGAGCTCACCGCTGGGTCCAACTCGGGAACACTGCATTTCCTCAGCCTAGCTGACCCACTGAATTCGCTGCCCATCTCATCAAGTGTCTCTTCAGTCCATAATGTCAGAGTTTCCTTTATTTGTTAGGTCCAACAACATGTAGGGAAGATAGGTCAAAAGAGAATCACAAAATTTGATCACATTTTACTATATGCCTGCACCCCCCTTCCCTAGCACCTTCTTCAGGGCCTCTTTGACATCTTTGTTTCTCAGTGTGTATATAAGGGGGTTAACACTGGGAGTGACAATTGTGTAGAAAAGAGTAAGGAACTTGCCCTGGTCCTGGGAATAAGTGTTTGCTGGCTGGAGGTACATGTATATGATTGTACCATAGAAGAGAGAGACAACGACCAAGTGGGAGCTGCAGGTGCTGAAGGCCTTCTTTCTCCCGGCAGCAGACTTGATCCTAAGCACGGCTCGCGCAATGTACCCGTAAGAGATGAGGGTGAGCGTGAGCGGAGCCAGAATGATAAAGATTGCCAAAGCCAAAGCCAGTGCCTCCAGGGTCATGGTATCGACACAGGCCATGCCAATCAGTGCTGGCATCTCACAGAGAAAGTGGTCCACCCGCCTGTGCCCACAGCGGGGCAGCATCAATGTCTGGGGTGCCATGATTAGAGAATTGCCAAAGCCACTCAACCATGCCACAGAAGCCAACTTCCCACAGAGGCGTGGGTGCATGATGACCGTGTAGTGCAGGGGTTTGCAGACAGCAGCATAGCGGTCATAGGCCATGACAGCCAGGAGGACACACTCCACCCCACCCAGAGCCAGGACAAAGTAGAGCTGCGTGGCACAACCCAGGTAGCTGATGGTCTTGTCTGGGCCCCACAGGTTGTAGAGCATCTGAGGGATGGAGCCGGTGGTGAAACACATGTCTAGGAATGAGAGGTTGGCCAAAAAGAAATACATAGGTGTGTGCAGCCGGGAGTCCAGAGCTGAAAGCAAGATGATGGTCATGTTGCCAAGAAGAGTCAGCAGATAAAAAGTGAGGACAGCCACAAAGAGGACCAGCTCTAGGCGGGGCCGGTCAGAGAAGCCCACCAGGATGAAGCCTTCAGAGGAACTGATGTTGTCCTTTTCCATCACCTGTGACCAGGTGTTACCTGCTGGGGGAAAGATGAGTATCTGTGAAAAGTACACATATACTCCCTCAAAATGGGTGGCTGGTAAAATGGCACCATGGACACTTCCTTGGAAATGCTGGATGCTCCACCGAGAATTTCAGTCGGTGTTAATTAAGTCATCGTTTGGTCTGAGGAGCACAGCATTTGGGAGTTTTTCAGGCTCCTGGCTGTGATTATTCACCAACCTTGTGCATCAGAGAACCCAGCCTGCTGTTAGCTGAAATCTCATTCTAAACAATGTCTCATCAACACTGGGAAACCCAGAGTCATGTCCCTACTGTGCCCCTGGCCCAGCCCTGTCCTAAACCTCTCATGAAATTGTGTTTTACATCCACACAGTGTATTTTAACCCTGGGGTTGTGTGATTTTTCTGAAGCTGAGAATGCTTTCCTATAAAGAGGAAAAAGATAGAAATAAAGCTATAGCCAGAACTCACTCCCAGTGGAACTAATATTCTGTGTTCTTTTAAATCTTTTCTCCTCTCTTATTCACATTTATTCTTACAAAGAGCTCCACTCCCTGGAAAACTACACGGATCATTTTATTTATGTATCTCTTTTGAACCCATAGAAATGAAAGGTTTTTTTTTATCTTTATGACACTTTATACTTTCAGTTGTTGGGCAATGTTTTTATGTCTTTGGGGGAGTATACTGTATAATGTACATTAACCAAGGACAAAGTCTCATTCTGATATTTTTACATATTTTCCTAAGCAGTTATTAAGAAGTAATAGAGTTGTGACTCTTGTTAAAATGGATGTATTGCATCTCTCAGGTGACTGGGGCACAAAATAGGGTTCCACTGCTCTAAGAATGCTTTGCCTTAATTAAATCATGTTGTGGTATGTGTCCCAGCAACAGTTCTAGCATGATTTTGTACCTTATTGGAAATTATAGGATTGTCAAAGTCCTCACTCCAGAGGCTGCAACAAGAGTCTCCAGTGGTGATGGACGAATGTGATGACATGTGGGGATAGACACCTGAGGATTAGATAACTGAGGACCAACACTTGTCATCAAGCCAGAATTTTGGGCTTTCCCTCCACCTCCTGTAACGTGAAAATTATACATATAATATATATAATTACATATACATGTATGGTTGAGAAAATACACACACATATATATACATATATAATATGTGAGAAAAAAGACATATGTATATACAAATAAACTGGGAGGGTGAGACATCAAACTGATGATAGTGAATGTCTCTGGAGGGGAAACTGAATCAGAGATTGGTACTTGCTCTATATCTACAATGTTCTATTTCTTTAAAAAGAGCTGGAAGGAAGTATGACTAGAAGAAATAGCTATTAATTCTGAATAGTGGAATATATGAATACCTTTTCTACTAGTCTTTGTAAATTTACATACATTTAAAATATCTCAAATTATGAAAGAAAAAATAACAATATGAATTACAAATCATTTAAATATTAACATAACCAATGTTTATGGACCTCATGAACCAGGCACAAATGTTAAGCATTTGAGATAGTTTACTCCATTTCATGCTCAGAGCAGCTCCAAGAAGCCAGCTGTGTCATTACTCAACATTACAGAACAAGCCCCAGAGGCCAGAGTGACCCAGGACTCCACGTTGGAAGTTACGCTGAACAGCCTGATTACTGAGACCCGTTAATATCCTCTCCGGCAAAGCAGACCATATTAGCGTTTCATTCTTAAGGTTTTCCAGTTCAGTAGATTCCACTAGTTTTTAAGTTCATGGTTTTGGTAAGAACTCCGTTAAGTGAGTTCAAAATCCCTCTCCAGCTTTCTCAGAATGAGTGATGTTTAATCACCATCTTTAGAACTTAATCAAGCCTACATTAAAGTGCATAATACCTCTAACTGCCCACGGTTCAGCTCTAGTCTACAGTTACAAAACAAAAACCAGATGCCTGGATGGAGGCCTGGGTCCCGTTTCTCCCTAAAGGATCATTAACTTACCAAATTTGACAGCAACCTCATATTTGCTATGTCCACAGGTCTTTCTCTTTCTTGGGACTTCACTCAGGAGTCCGAGTGGGATGACCAGGGTGAAAATGAGGAGAAAGGAAAGATGAGATTCAGGAAATCTGTGAGAAAGGACAGAGGATAGGGAGGCAGCAGGCCCAGCAGCTGAGCCCAACAAAGGGAGAATGTTGATGAGCAAACAGCAGCTACACCACCTGAGGGCCCTGAGCACCCACATCCCCCTCCCGCCCCAAGTGAGGACGCTGGAGGTGGCTCAGAGGTACACTCAGCACAGGGAACACAGCAGTGTTCCCAGGGTTCAATTCTGAAAAGAAAGAACTTATGGGTTTCAGGGCCAGACGCTTCCTTTTCTGCCTCCCCCTGTGGAGTAAAACTTCCTTTTCAAAAATTCCCTGAACTAATTATCTCTAACAAGGGTTGGGAGAGTGTGAGGTCTCAGAGGAAATATTACTCTTGCCAACACACACACACACACACACACACACACACACGCTACAGATTCACCGGAGAGAGAGAGAGTGATGGAGAGAGACCATCAAACCCTCCTCACTGGGTCTCTCAAGACCAGGAGTCAGTGCTGAGCCTCAATCTTCATTCAGAACAGAGCCCAGAATCGAGGAAAGGTTGTGAGGATCTGCCTGTGCTGGTTTCCTTTGTGATGTGTGTCCTCTGTCACCTGCTTGGGGCACAAAGAAGGGCTGATCACAGTCCTTCACCATTTTATTTACTTCAGATGAGTTTTCTGTGGCATTTTAAGATCCATAATAATGAAGCTTAACTTGAATATTTTCTATTTAAGATGACTCAAGAGGAGGGTGGATAAAATGAGAAATTAACTTTGACATTTAAAATTAATACAAAAACAAAAAGAGTCCAAAAATATTAAAATAATCTTATTTCAATTTGCCAAGTTCGGTGTAGAATTAAGATTGTCCCAAAAAAGTTACTATGTATCTGACTGACAAACGACTTCAGCTGTCATTAGTGTAAATTAAGAAAGACAAAAAACAACAGCGCCCTTCAGGTCACTTCACTGCTTGTTACAGTCCTGGACCAGCAAGATAAGAAGAGGCGTCTCTAAAGCATATTTTCTGTATCTACCTGTTTAAGACTTCTAAGGGAGATGACTATCACATTTCATCTCTAGAACTGGATATTTTAACTTATACATATGAGACAATACATATAAATGTGCCTTGTACATTGAAAATATTATTTAGATCTTAATAACCATTATTATTAATATCTTATTGATGACTAACTTCAGTGGCCGTTTGTAGATCCTTTGTCAAATAGAAACAAGACACATCTGGTCATTACCATGTCAAATGCTATGTTTAAAATATAAACATGATTAAAGTCATACACAATATTCTTAACACCACTAACTAACTTTACTGGTGGAGATAGAAGATAAATAGAAAAAATTATATCATCACCATTAATTTGAAAACAAATGGCATACAATGACTGTATTCTGTCAACAGAAATATTGAAATATTTAGGTGATCAATCAAAACTAGTCAATATTAATTCCATATTCCACCAAACTTCTTGGCACAATTAGAGGAGCCATTCCCCCGAGAGTTGCTTCTTATACTTAAATTAAGTTATTAACTTGTACAACCATCTCAGCCTAATATTTTCTCATGGAAACTAGGGAGAAATGCCTGGAGAATTTGATGCTGTCAAGAATGTTCTACCTGAGATAATGAGTCCCTCTGAGAAATGAAGGGGACGAGGTCCTCGGGGGCATTAGCTCAATGGAGGATGTGGAATTCTTAGCCAAAGACATTTGGGAATCAAGTTTAAAAAAAATTTTTTTTTGCCACCTGACTTTTACCCCCTAATCTACCCCTAGTCCATCACAAATACACTTAAAATTGTAGCTGATGTAAATATAGCTGTGGAAATAAAATAGGACAGTTCAAGGGTTACCAGCAATTGTGAGAGCTGCTTCCCAGCACATCACTATATGACTTGATAGGTTGTAATATGACATCGTGGACAATATGACAATGCTGTCAGAGAAAGAAATGAAGTCTATAAATGTCTCAGTCGTCTTTCCCATCAAATGCTATTATATTTAAACAAGTTCTTTTATTGCAATTTAATCTAATTTTTAAAAATTATTGTAGCATTTGTGGAAGTGCACAACCAATTCTTATAAAACTTTTATCGCATGTATTCATGAGATTGAATGTCAAATATCCATCACATTTTTGAACCTCATTTCCCAAACCTGCTTTTCTTCTTCCCTCCCTCCCTCCTTCCCTCCCTCCTTCCCCCCTCATATGGAATTATTTTACACTTATTGAGGTTTGTTTTACGGCTTAGTACATGGTCTCTTTTGTTTACTGTTTTGTGCAACTTTATAAAGAATATGCATTCTGCTGTTGGTAGGGGAGTGTTTTGTTGATGTAAATTTGGTCCAGCTGGCTGTTAGTGCCATTCCAGTCTTCTCTTCCCTGCTGATCATCTGTCTACTTTCATCAGTTTTGAGAGGAGAGCATTGAAATCCTAAACTATCCTTGTAGATCTATTTTTTCTTCCAGGACATGTATTCTCAGGCCCTGTTATTGGGAACAAACAGATAGGATAGTTAAGTTTCCTTGACTAATTGATTGTTATTATTAAAGAAATGCAGTTTTGTTTTGTTTTCTCCCTGGTAATATTCCTTGCTCTGGAATCACCTTCACCTGGCATTCCGCCCTAGGAGTGGTTAGTATTTGCCTGGTCTTTGTCTAGTCTTTTACCTTTAAGCTATTTGTAACTTTATATGCAGCCCGACAATCTCTGTCTTTTAGCTGGAGGTCTTAGATGACTTATATTTTATGTTATTACTGACATTGTTGGGTTTTAACCTACGGCCTTGCTATTTGTACTATTTGAACTTTGTTTCTTCTTTTCATATTTTCTTTTGGTTCGAGTATTTCTTATTAGTCTTTTTTATCTCTACTCTTTGTTGTATTTTTTTTGGCCCCTCCAAGGTTTACAATATATATCTTTAACTTATGCAAACCTATCTTCAAATAGTGTGCATCTTCCCGTATAATACGAAACCCTCACAATATACTTCCCTCCCCTCCCCCGCCCTTAAATTCTACATGACATAAGCCCCACACACGACCATCCCCCAAACCCGCTTTTCTTCGATTCTGCCCCTGGACATCTGCCCGGCGCCAGGCCCGACAGCATCGCTGTTCCTGGGCCATCTCTCCGGAATTCTTCCGCTCAGCCGTTTGCGTCTTCCCGCAGCGCTGTCCTTCACGCGCCGCCTCTCTCACGGCGCTGCCGCACTAACTCTCGCCCCACTGGCCACAAGAGCCCGCTCACTGGCTAGTGTCCAGTGTCCACTACTTGACGTCATCTTCCACTCTCCCGTAGAAAGAGCGTCCCCGAAGCACCGGCGCCCTCGCCCCGCGCAGTCCCGCAGGGAGCCC